ATTTCAATCATGCCAAATACAACCCGAACAAACATCCAGTGCCAAATACGACCTGAAGTACGTTACAATGCAAAAATACTACCTGGACTTTTTAAAACGTACATAAACCTACATTGACCGTAATAGAAGTTAGTCAACCGTTAAAAGGATAAAACGACGTCGTTTTAATTATAATATTAAAAAAATGAACATTCCGGGACTCGAACCCGGGTTTTGTCACTATTTAAAACATACACATCAACCACTAGACTAAAGCAAATTTTTTTAAAAATACTACAAATTTGCAATTATATATGCTACTATACTTTTTATTCTTCTCTAATTAAAACTCTTTTTATTATTATTTTTGATTCTTATAAATATATTAACATATTTTGTAATTATTATATCTTCAATAAACTTATATTATACTAAAATATAATAATAAAATATTTATAATCATACAAAATTAAATATATTTCATGTTTTTCAACTATTTACAAAATGTCCATATAAAAATTATTTTAAAAATAAAACTTAATGGTAATTTATTTTATTTTGGTAAAGTATATTCAGATTATATTAATTTTAAGAAACAATAGAAATTAACATTCAATTTTTAAAATTTTAAAATAATTTATATATGGACATTTTGTAAATAGTTTCAAAACATGAAATATATTTAATTTTGTATAATTATAAATATTTTATTATTTATATTTTAGTATTTATAAGTTTATTAAATATGTTAATATATTAATAAGAATCAAAAATAATAATAACCAAATTTTTAATTAGAGAAGATGAAAAAGTATAAAAGCATATATAATTGCAAATTTGTAGTATTATTTAAAAAAATTGCTTTAGTCTAGTAGTTGATATGTCAGTTTTAAATAGTGGCAAGGCCTGGGTTCGAATCCCATAATGTTCATATTTTTTTAAAAATAATGAAATCGAAACGACGTCGTTTTATCATTTTAACGGTTAACTAACTTCTGTTACGGTCAATGTAGGTTTAGGCACGTTTTATAAAGTTCAGATAGTATTTTTGAATTATAACGTAGTTCATGTCGTATTTGGCACTGGATGTTTGTTCGGGTTGTATTTGGCACAATTGAAATTGTTTGGGTAGGAATAGGTCATTTTCCCGACGTCGTTTTATCATTTTAACGGTTGACTAACTTCTGTTACGGTCAATGTAGGTTTAGGCACGTTTTAAAAAGTTTAGGTAGTATTTTTGAATTATAACATAGTTTAGGTCGTATTTGGCACTAAATGTTTGTTCGGGTTGTATTTGGCACGATTGAAATTGTTTGGGTATGAATAGGCCCTTTTCCCCCAGATTCGTGGCATGGTGGCTACAATGGCACCAAGATTTTGACGCCGAGGCATCACTGGTCTTCCAATCAATATGAATCGATTTTCTTCAGCCGCTTGACGAACCACCGCATGTGGTAGCACAAAAGGAGCATCATTGCTTCCTAAATCAATGTCTTACATCGCACGTCGAATGTTATCAGCCATTCTTAATCGGGGAATGTAGTATCTGAGTGGGTACAAAAGGAGTTTGGATATAAACCAGATTAAGGATGTAAACACAGAGCCTTCTCGTATCAGTTTTATAGTAACCACATATAGTGGTAGTTTTGTCATCACTCTATCATGAGAACGTGGGTTTCTCATGGAATTAACGGGCATCGTGGGGATACACCAATCCGATATTCTCTCTCGCCATCAGAAACATCATCAACCACCAAGAAAGTGGCGAGAAATTTGATCAAATTCAGTAACTGTTTTGAAATCGTCTTAGTGTCGCTAGTAACTGTTTTTTTTATCTCATCGCTTTTTGATTCTAATACCCTCAAATACAATACAAGTTATTTTAAATATTCTGAAATGTATAATTTTATAAGACTTAAGCTATTAACAAATTATTTACTATAAAAACACATCTATGTTATTAAAACTCAAGTATCTTTTGGTACTGTTTGGAAATAAGGAAAGCATAATAAATGAAAATTGTTTGGTAACATGAATAAAAGATTAAGTATTTCTTTTTATTTGCATATTTATCCCTTGTCTTTACAATAAATTAGATATTTTCCTTTTGTATTTCTTTTTATTTACAGTTTCTGTCATTGAATTTAAAATCAATTTAAATTAATTAATTACAATGGTTTTCTTTCTTTGTGGTGAAAATAAAAACACAAACTAAAATATATAATATATATTATATAAAATATTTTTTAAATATAATATTACCTTATTTAGTTTATTAAAATATAAAATGTGTGAGTCCAAATTTCAAGAAAACAAAATATCATAAAATTAATGACAATTCATAAAAAAACTAATGCAAAAAAAAAAAATTAAGTATGTTGTTTCATTTTAAAATAAATTAACAAAAAACAACATGTTAATATATGAAAAGTACAGTTACATCAAATTTTAAATTTCTAATATAATATATGTTACAAATAACATAACTATTATTAAACATTTATATTATAAAATAATACATTCTATTCTATATATAAATTACAAAACATAAAAAATACATATATAACTTTTCTATAAAACCACTGATTTATGAGTTTACGTTGAATACAAGTTAAATCAAACACCCGCACAGAGATGCAGAGTAAGTTCTAATACTCTATTAAAACAGAAGTACAAAAAATTTCTTGTCTTTTTCTAACGGATTACTTAGAGTTTCTAATTTTTTTGGACACTTTATCTACTTAATAACTCAATCACTACAAAAAAGGGTAAAGATAGCATAAGAAGATAGCGGTCAAGTCGAAAATGCTATCGTTGATATAACACTGTTTTTAAGATAGCGTTTTATAATGTACATGTATGTTTGATTTTTAAAGAGTTGTTTACATTATGAGACACATTGTTCTCTTTTTTTACAACAAAAGACACTTAGAGCTTGTGGGACACTTTCTCCTTCTCTCTCTTCATTATGTTTACGAGAATAACCCTGGTTGGAGAAAGAGGAAGATTTTGATTTTAGTTGGATTTAGACAAAGAAGTTTATTTATTTTTATGTTTAATTGTTAGCCACAAGATGTAAAAGTAACATTTCATCTTACGGTGTGTGTTTGTTCTTTGTGTTTGAATAAAAGATAATATTGACATTTTAATTAGTTTTACTTGTACGAATGAAAGTGTATTTTTTATTTTAAATATCTTTTCATTGTTATTAGTTTACCTCTCTTTTCTTTATTTGCTTGTTTTTCAAAACTGAGAATATATATATCAATAAACTGGATATAATCAATTGTAATATTTTATTCTCTATATTTTGACATCCATTTACATATATTTTTCTTATAATTTTACATTTATACATGTGGACGCGAGAATCGTGGACAAGCTAGTCATGGACAAACAAACGTGGATGAGATAATAGTTGTGGATAACCAAATTTGTAGATATACAAGTTGTGGATAACCCAATACACAATTCATCTCAGCTCCATCATGATTAGTTCAGGGAAGCAAATCCCTGTTAAAGTTTGAACATAAATATTATCTACATAATTCATGTGCACCATTAAAATTAGATGGAAAAAAATACGTCTTTGCAAAAATATCATCTGAATGGATTCTATGGACCATTATTTGTGAGCCAGTAGGTGTGGACATGGACTAGAACATGTACATAGAACATTCTTTTGTTAATAATATGTGTTACGAGATATTTTTAGCTCATTTATTTGCATTTGATAGGATCTAGATTATACAATTAAAAATTTGTGGCTAAATCAAAAGAGCCATAAAGCACATTTTAAAAAATTTGGGATGAAAACAAGAATAATTAAAATGAGAAGGACCACAGTTACAAAAAAAATGAAATTTCACCATTGTTGCTTTTGCTCTCTTGAGCGTAACACAGTTTACGGACTCGTAGCAGATCAAACCGGAGGATATTATTAACTCTACGTACCTCTCCATCCACCCTTCTATGCGGTTACGCCCGTAATTGATCCAAAACAAGTGGAAAATTTACAAATCTAAGGTACCAGACCTCTCCTCCCTCTCCAATTCCACCTCTTTTCTTTGTTTATGGTGGCTACATAAATGGAGAGAGATGAATACGTGGAGAGGAAATTACAAATCAGACAAGCATTAAGGATTCTGGATTTGTGGTGTTTTGCTACAATTGATGAAGAAGAAAAAGGAGATGGTTTGGTAAAATTAGGATTAGAGATTGGGGAAATAAATCTGAGATTCCAAAGTGATTCTGGAAAGAGGATTACATGACTTTTTGAAATAAAAAAGAAATAAATTTTTGAATTTATTTTTAAAGGATAAATGCTTAGTTACGAAAGAAGTCATGTTAAAGAAAAACAAACTTGAGGGTATAAAAGACAATCGACATATAGAAAGTGTGCTTCCAGCACCAAGTGTCTGATTGTGTAAATTGAAAGTGAAAATGTGTCTTAGAGGGTAAAAAAATCATTTTTAAAACGCTATCTTTAGACCATCTCCAACGGAGGATATATAGGGTTCCAACTGCTGTATCTAAATAATTATGTGCAGAAATTTAAATCAAAAAGACACAAATTAGATAGATCTGGTTCTATAATTAGAGTTTTTGGAACCACTTCTAACTCTTCTTTATCTCTCTCTTTCGTGGAATTGGAAAACAATGAAAGAAGAAAAGCTTCAGGACATGGCGAATCTCAATCCTCTCCATCATCTATCTACTTTGCTTCTTTCAATTAAGATCACAGGTGAGTTTCACAACAAAGTGATTGGTCTCTCTCTTTTTTATTGGGATTGATAGCGAAGGAAAATGGCGAGATAGGGTTTTGTATAATCTTCGATTGGCACATGGTGATGATTACTGAGATACGAATGTTGTGATTGTGTATTCCTATGCTGTGATTAAAGTTGTTTAATTGCATGATTGAATTGTCTGGGTTTGTTTTTTAATGTCAAAACAGTTTCAATCAACCGCCGCAGTTTGATAATCATCACCCAGCCCAGCAGTAACATCAACAACAACATATGATCATTGACGGCAGCTCAAGGAAGAGACGCTCTCTATCCTCTACCCCAGGTTAGCCCCTCCAAGTTTCCTTCTTTCTTTGTTCTCTGCTTCAAAAAGTGTCAACTTTAGAGTTTCTGCATTATTGTATGCAGCAGATCCTAGTGGTGGTGGGGATGGTAGTGGTATTGCCAAGTTATATGTTGCGCCTGTCCCCATGAAAGCAACCGAATACGATGTGAGTTTCTTCCCTTTTGATTATGCGATTGTTTTTTATTCAGATTCTGTCTCACTCACAAGCTATGTGTTGTTATCTGTGTTATTAGGTTCGTCAAGTGTTTGAAAAATATGGTAATGTGACAGAGATCACTTTTCCTAAGGATAAGATGAGCGGTGAACGAGCATGTGACTTTTGCATTTTCATTCATGTTCTCCAGGAATATATATCAGTTTTGCTTAGGGAATAAACAGTATACCTTTCCTGGGGTGAATGTGTGTGTCTCTCTCTCTTTAGCTTTAAGATGGTCTAAGAACAGAGGGTAATGTGATTACATGAAGAATCTTCCTTAGATAGTAGCACAAATGTTTAGTAGCATTAAGGTTGAGAGAAAGCTGTCTCTTGTCTTACCTAGTTTGATTCTCTCATATTTCTTACTATGTTTGGAGTATTCTTTTACTTGAAGTGTGAAATCAATATTTTCTTTTGTTGTGAGCAGCACCTTGGGTGGTATTCTTTTACTTGAGTTGAAGTGTGAAATCAATATTTCTATGACACCCTCTTGAGACAGATGCTTTTCATTTTCCTATAAGCACTGAATCTTTTTTCTTTGCTATTTTTTTTTTAATCTCATAACAAAGCGCTGCAACATAGATGTTTTCAGGTAAATATACTCAAGTGTGTACTCGAGGAGGTTGAGAAAATTATGCTGGAATTTGAAGGCACTCTTTACAAGTCTATGGAAGATCCAAAGATAGACTTCACAAGTGTATGTCAGTTATTATTCATTTAATTCTAGTGCCAATTAGTAATTGAACTGAAAGAAAAATCTTCATTCCCATATTCACCAAATGCATAATGCTGCTATCCAGTCAATATTTCAGTCTCATGCTCATCTTATTTGCTGTCATCAATTTTAACTTGCATTAAAATATTTCCATTTTCCATTTTCTTCTAGCTTTGTACATCAAAATGACTATTTTTTCCATTAGTTATAGACCCATTTACTTGGTTTCTGCATACTTTCTATTGTGTTAACATGCATTTTTATATGGTTTAGTCAGATGCTGCCTCTTCTAATGAAAATAATGAAGTTCAAGTTGATCCACAATCATTAGAGTTTCCCAGCGAAGAGATCGATGCGTTGAAGGGGAGATACATCAAAAGGTTGACTGCTGTGCTTGTGCATCATATTCCTTTGTTTTGGAAAACAGCTATATCCGTTTTCAGTGGAAAATTTGTCAAGGTAACATCTGTCCTTTCTGCGTACATACCTATACTGCTCCAAGAGTAGATTAATTCTGTAGTTATTATCCCATTGTCTGAGATTGCTAGTGATATGGATAGAAGACACAGTGTGATGCAAGTAATCTTTTATTACAAAGTTTCAAATTTTTAAAATTTAGAACCTTTAATTGGTTCTACCATTGGAGGTATTAAAACTAAACAAGTATCTAAGACTTCTAATTTAATTATTTTCACTTAAAAAATTGATTTAGAACTCTAATGAAGGATCTATTGTTGGAGATGGTCTTAGTTAGATGAATGTTTGATTTTAAAAAATTGTTTCTTAGCTAAAATTAAAAAAAAAATAGGAAAAAAAATATTTTCATGTTTTACATATTCTTGTTTCTTTCTCTTCTCGTCTCTACTCTTCCTCTAATCCTCTCCATTTCTTTTCTGAAACACGACAGAGAGATGAGACAGAGAGAATGAGATTACAGGAGGCAAAAGCCGAGAGGTAGCCGTTGTCACCCCCCGAGAACAGTACGCACAAGAACAACGCATCACCGCTCGAAGATAACGACGGTGAGATTCACTCTCGTCTTCAACCCATGTAGGGTTTCCATTCGTTTCAGTTTTAGTGTGTTGATTGGGGCTTTTGCGATTACGGTTCGATTTGTTTCAGTGTTTATGTATCTAGATTTGTCACAGAGAAGCTTGAGTGATGACGCCTCATCTCCTCCTCTGCCTCTCTCCTCTTTAACATCTGAGGTATGTCTCTCACTCTCTCTCAGATTTTGTTTTGTTCATTATTTGATAAATCTCCTCGTCTCCGTTGTCGCTGAAAAGGTTTGTGCCAGGCTGCTGCTGCTATTTTTCCTAGACTACTGTTTCAAATGGTGGATGTAGGCTTGAAAGTTGACTACTGATTATTATTGTGTTCTAAGTTTTTCGTATGTTACACATTACATGTTGTAAATTACTCAAGAATTTATACTGCTTTGATTGTTTCTTTCTACTCAGCCACCAGTTGCAAACTATACAAACCCAAATACAAGTCTCTTCAAGGTATGCTCCTGATTATTAAAGTCTTTTGATATGTTGCAGGTGGCTATATCATGTATGTTGTATAGGGAGAATCAGTTGGAGTTGATGGACAGTTATGGGTAAGTAACTGCTGTTTGGTCCAAGACAACTAATTATGTATTTGACGTGTCTGACTTTGGGGAAGTTCTATTATAACTCTTGATGCTTTTTAATTGCAGGGAAGTTCTATTATAACTCTTGATACTTTTTCACTTGCAGGATACTTCAGAGAAGCTGCAAAGGAGGTATGTACATGAAAAATAAGCTAGTCTTCATCCTCTTTAGCACTTTGTTGCAGAAAACTAAATCTTTTTAGTCTTGCATTGATATTTTTGGTACTAGTGTTTTGCAGAAAACCAAATCTTGTTTAGTCTTGGATTGATACTGTTGTCACATTATAGTTGACACGTATGCTTTTCAATAGCTAACCCTTTTAGTTTTTGGTATGATGTAACAGCCAATACGTGGTTACTTTGAATATAAGATAGGACAATGTAGAGAAAATAGGAGCTTTAAGTTTGATAAAATCTCCACCGTTTTGTTGCAGGAGCTATTTGACTGGTACAAGGAGCTGAATATTTAATTGCAATGGCCTTGGGATGAAGAATTTTCTTTGGATATTTACATGTATCACTCTCTCTCTGGAATCAACTTAGTGGTTTTGGTTTAGGTTTTAGTTATTTTGTAAACAATTTCGATATATATAAAAAAAAAATTAATATTTTTATTTGAACTTTTTTTTCAAATAAAGCTACGACAACATTTATTATCTGCTGTTATAAGTTATACAATTGCATAACCAAAATAACACTATGGAATTAATAATTTAACATAGCATATAAAAAAATGCTATATAAAGTGCCTAAGAAAAGATTGCGGGAGTAGACATAGCGTTCACCATAACGATGTGTTTCGCTGTAATAGCGTTTTACTCATGCTATAGATGTGATATTTTCTTGTAGTGAATTTTGGATAAATTTAATAATACATGAAACATGCAATTTTATTCTAACCAAATTTTAATGTCCATCTCTATATTATTAAAACTGAAGTAAAAATAGAACTAACATTATTTTAGAAAGATTCTTATGCAAACTATAGCTTTAATTGAGAGGTTTTTGTACTAAAAAGTTCGTAAGAACTAATAATCTGTATTTATTTTAGTTTTTTTCTCACTTTTTATGAACTTAAAGAAAACGTAAAAACTATGTGTAAATATCTCCACTGGTTTCGAAATTATCGGTTTGATCACACAACCCATTATCCAATGACTTATCTGCAACATCTTACCATGAAACTTTACCACTTTTTATTAATCTCCAAAAGTTATTCTTAAACCCCACTCCAGTCATTCCATCCAATTCTTTAGTTGCAACACAAGGCATTGCCTTTGCTCTGAGTTTTTTTTATAAATATACAGATGCATTACTTACCTTCCCATCTTTTTTTATAGTTGAAAGACCTGAGATAAAGAATGAAGCAAGAGGCGAAACAGAGAAGAACAAGCGACAACAACATTTCCACCACGATCTTAAAAACATGATCTCCTCCTTAACCCACATGGGAGCAGACAAGGCAGGACCAAGTCAATATGAAAAAGAGAAGCAGGAGGATGGCATAAAAGCCATATTTTAACACCTGAAATATTCTGGAAGGTGTGCTTCTTTAGTTCTTCAGACCAATAATCTTGCGTGAACAAGTGTATGGAACTTAATTGGAAATGGTCAAATTTATTAAACTCAGACAATAAGCGCATAAAAGGCTGTCATTAGAATAGCAGCAAAATAGCTCATTGACCACACAATTTTTCACTATAATCACTCTAATATTCAACGATTTGATCAAACATTAGTAGGGTATAAATGCAGCAGCAAAAACAAAATGACATTGAAGCTCTGCTGCAAACAATAGAAAAGCTTTGATCTTATTCATCGCCCAAATGACGATCCTACAATGCAAAACCAAACCGATGTTAATTCCACAACATGTATCATCAATCTGAAGCTACACACAAAAGCATGTATACACCCTTCTTTATATTAAAAAATACATAGACTGAACAGAAATCATACATACCATACTCATCTGCAGATCCTCAAGCATTGCCACTGCTCTTTTCAGTTCCTCTTTACTCCATAAACCAGTCAGCACATTGCGGATAGTAATGGTATCAGGACACACACCACTGGAAATCATCTCTTGGAAAATGTCTAGAGCGCCATTAATATTACCCACTTTACGAAAACCATGAATCAAGGTTTTGTAAGTAATTGCATCAGCAACTATCCCTCTTCGACCCATCTCGCAGAAAAGCTCAAGCCCATCATCAACCCTTCCTACCTTACAGTAGCCATTAATGAGCGTATTAAAGGTCACTACATTTGGGGAGAAGCTCTTGCTACCCATCGAATCAAACATCTGTTTGGCCTCATCTAGACGGATCTGCTTGCATAATCCATCGACCATTGAGGTATAGGTGAAAGTATTTGGGACTATACCTCTGTGGGGCATCTGCTCGTATAATTCCTCAGCCTCTATAAACTTCCCTTCATTGATTAATCCGCTGATTAAAATATTGTAAGTTTGAACATTAGGTTCCACAGCATTGAAGGGATGACTAGCATCAATACCCATCTTACTCTTCTGCATAGCCTTAAACATTTCCAAAGCATCTTTTAGTTTCCCATTATTGCAGAGACCGTCCAGCAAAGTATTACAAGTTACGATATCAGGGCACACACGACTAGAAATCATCTCCTGTAAAAGGTCTTGAGCAGCATTAAGATCGCCCACCTGACAGAGCCCGTGAATAAGAGTGTTGTAAGTAATTGTATCAGCAACTAATCCTCTTCTAGACATCTGATGGAGAAGTTCCATTCCATCATCTACCCTCTTAGCCTCACAGTATCCGTCTAGAAGAGTATTGAAAGTGAATACGTCAGGAGAGCAGCCCTTGGTAGCCATCAATTCAAACATTTGCTCCGCAGCATCAAGACGATTCTGTTTGCAAAATCCATGGATCATTGAATTATATGTGATTGTACAAGGGATTATACCCCTTGGAAGCATCTCATCGTATAATTCTTCAGCCTCAGAGAACTTGCCCTCTTTGACAAATGCATTGATTAAAGCACTATAAGTTACGACATTAGGGCTGATCTCCTTTGCTAACATTTCATGCAACAACTGCTCCGCATCGCTCCATCTACCAGAGCTACAAAAACCGTTTATCATACAGTTGTAGGTAACTAAATTGGGAAAGATTCTTTTCTCTTGCATTTCACTGAAAAGATTTTGAGCATCGATATGACGTCCGTCTTTCCAAAGGCCATCAATGATGGCACTGTAGATTACCACATTGGGTTTGATGTGGCTCACCTCCATCTTCCTCAGCAGTTTCAATGCAGACACAGTGTGGCCTATCTTACACAGTCCGTTTACAATTGTTCCGTAAGTAATCTGGTTAGGCTGGAGACCATTTGCCATCATCTGATCAACAAGATTAACAGCTTCGAGAACTCGACCCTCTTTGCAAAGACCGTTCATCAGTGTGCTGAACGTTATGACATTGGGACTACATGGCATTTGATGAAAGAAAGCCAAGGCTTCAGAAACCCTATCTTCCATACATAATCCATGGAGCAGCGTGCTAAACGTAATAACACCCGGATGAAACCCAAGCTTAGTGATCTTTCCAAACGTAGACAAAGCAAACGGGAGTTTAGAGCAGCCGCAGAAACACTTTATCAGAATGGTGAAGCTGTAGATGTTACATGGAATCCTTCGCATTTCCATCTTCTTATGGAGAGAAATCACAACATCTGACCTTTCCATCCTCACCACCACACCCATCAATTTGCAGAAATCGATCACAGAGGGTAAGGGATGAGATCGTACCATGTCATTGAACAAATCAATCGCATCATCTAACTCTTTGATTTCATGAAACCCACTCTGAAGCTTCAAAGTCTCTCCTCGGAAAGCTGCTTCAGGATGATTCATCATCTTGGCGATAGGAATATGAATCAATCTCGTACAGAACAATCTCGCCGCAGGAGAAGAAGAAGAAGATGCGAATCTACAAACCCTAGCCAACATTTCACCTGAATTACGAGTGAGAGTGGTAGAGTGAGAACCCTTGGCTCGAGCGACTATAACGAAATCAGAAAAAAAGGTTGTCCGGTTCAAATTGATTTTACACTGACCGGTTCAGCTCAACTCAGGCAGCCAAACAAACTCTTTGACGGCAAATCTCAAATGTGTTGCCAAACCGGTTTACTAAAGGTTGGTTCACTTGGCCAGAATCAACCGCATCCCCAGTCTCACTCAACACCATTTCCAGAATCAAAATAAAATGGATAAATACCAGTGTTTTCACGCCCGACCCGGATCCGCGGTCTGACCATTAAACCCGGTGACCCGATAACTAATCTGGTTTGGGTTTTAAGAAATATCCACTAATCCACTAATTAAAAATCATATAAAACCCGTTAAAAACCCTTAAACCCGGTGACCCGGTTATTGGTTAAACCATCAGGTGAACCAATGAGTTATTTTTATTTAGATTTTGTTAGGTTTTTAACTATTTTATTAAATATTTTTTGTATACCCAAAATAAGAAGTTAGATTTTTACTTTTTAACTTATATTTTTCTCATAAAATTATTTTTTTCGTGCTATCGCATATATTCTATATCTCCTTTAATTTTATTGTAAAATTTTTGTTGATTTCTTATGTGGTAAATAATATTTGCTTTTAGTTTTTAGGTTCTAACTTTTATCATATAAACTTCATTTTTATTCTAATCTCATACTTTTATTTTATTTTCATGATTTTAGATGTTTATAAATAAATAGTGTTTTTGTTAATCAAATTTATTGATCTTATTTAATTTTGAAAAATCATATATAATATTAACTAAACCATTTATTGATTTCGGTGAACATTGCATTATGCATCTTAAAGAAAATATATTGAATAATGATAAATATTTAAAACTTATGAGATTTAAATATTGTTATGATTTACTATATGTCTCAACTCCTAATTTCTTATAAAAAATTGTTAAATAGTTTAATCTAACTTTAAATATTTTATAGGTTAAATAAAACAAAAATAAAGAGAGTATTGACATGTGGAAATTTCTCCTATATTTTTAATAGTTAATATATAATTATTTATTAAAATTAATTAATGTATTGACATGTGGTTTATCTGTAGTTTATTTGTGGTTGATCCAGTAACCCGGTGACCCGGCAAGGTGCCCAGTTCAGTGTCCGGGTCAGGTTTAAAAACGTTGATAAATATCTAATTACTCATCAGGGAATTACACAAGATAAAAAAAAAAGGATAATTTTAGTTCTTATGGAAATCGACGCTAAATACCCGTTTACAAGCAAGAATAAGGCTTTTAGTTCGTTTCTCTTATTTCTTGGGCAACAATAGAATGAAAGAGTTGTGAGAACAATCAGAAACTTTTGATGCTATCACAATCTGCAGCTTTTCCTCCACTCTCACTGCTTTCTCTAGAAACACATTTCTTCAACGCCTCAGCAATAATCGCATATCAGATGACGTTTTGAACCAATATTTGATTTTGTTGGACATCAGGGCTAGGGCTAGGCATTCGGGGTCCCAATCGGGTTTTGGTTTGGATTCATTCGGGTTTCGGGTTTTTGGGTTCATGAATTTTAGCCCCATTCGGATGTTATAAAAATTCGGGTCGGATTCGGTTCGGGTTTAATCGGGTTCGGTTCGGATTTAGTAACATGTCCAAAATCCAATTGAACCCGAAATAGTTTCGGTTTCGGATACTTATTGGGTTATCGATTCTAAAAACCTAATTTATACTCAATTAAATTCACTATATTTTCAATCTTGTGTATTTAGCTTCTACAAACCGTATTGTTCTGCTTCTAAATAATATTATGAAACTCATCTATCAACAATATAAGATCTGTCATTGAACTATATGTGACAACACTAAACATATCATGATTAATGATAAACCAAAATTTTGTATGAACGAAAATCATACATAATGAAACATAAAAAGTTAAAATTAACAACTAACAATTATATAAACGTAAGAAGTAATATTGAAAATTTAAAAAACAACATTATTTAAACTTCAAAACAAATTTATTCGTAACTTAACTTCAAATGTAGTGTCAATCATAAACATTAGTAACAGCCAAATAACACTATATATTAGACTAAATATTTGAGTTAATTATTCATATCATAACTAATTATTATAGGTATTCAATAATATATTAATGTATTTTGGAAACATATTAGAAATTTAGATTAAGTATGATATAAGTTTTTTTGGAATTTTAAAGTTTCGGGTTCTTTCGGATATCCATTTAAGTTCGGGTTCGGTTCGGATAAAACTCATAACCCGAAATACCGTAAAACAAGATCCATTTGGTATTTATGTCGAGTTCGGATCGGTTCAGATACCTTTTTATCGGGTCGGGTTCGGTTCGGATTTTCGGGTTTCGGTTTTTTTGCCCAGCCCTAATCAGGGCATAAGAAGCTTCCTTGTCACAATCTGAAAACACACAGCAAATGAGATTTGGCATAGCCAAATTAAATAGAGAACGTTAAGGAACACAACCAATGGAGTGAAGATCACTACTGATGATTTAGACAAGAGAAAGTTTAAAGATGTCCACTCTAGTAGCCGTGTGAAAATACAAGTATAAGTATGAGAGCTTTTCACCAGTCTGACAAGTTATATCGCTGTTTAAGACTGCTCTAATTCTGATTGTGATAAAAGTTATTGCTACCCTACCCACAACAAAAAAAAAAACTGAGACTTTCTTACTCAAATAATGGCTGGATTATCTTCTTTTTGCAACTTCACTCTTAATTCTCCCTGCTACCATGAAATCACATGGATCTGCATTGCCAATCTAATCACCATGAAGAGCTCAAAATCACAGCCACGCAGAAACAAAGACAGGTTCACAAATTACAAACCAACTAATTCTAGTTATGAGAAATGAAGGACAGCACAATGGAGTTTCAAATGCGTGCAGCAATCATATTAATCTCAATGCACTTTAGGTTTTCACATGCGTTACTAAAACTGATTCTTCACCAGTCAACCACAATTTTTTTTCACTTACTACCCATTTCTTGGTATTCGGCATCCTAATTCTCGCAAATAACCAACTACTACCCCCCCCCAAACTCCTACTTTGATGTTAAAAACCATCTAAATCTGATATTCGTAATGAACAGATGGGAATCCTATTTCCATGTTACGTTAAAGCAACCAAGTCACAAAGAAACATGATTAAAAGACTAAAACTTATAACAACATTCTTTGGAATCTGTATTTTTATAAGAGCTTCTCTTGCTTCATTTGTTAACTGATCTTGCGTCAATAAATGGAGCTCTTCTCTCTCATATCAGCAACCGAGACGTTGCTCACCAGAATAGAAGCAGACAAATTGATTTACCTCACAACTCTTCTCTCAAGGGTTAAGAAATCATATCGAGGAAGCTTTTGCTCAATCTCCCATCATATAACATATTAGTAACCAAACCAAAGGTTGAAGCATCTCCTTCAAACCCAGAACCTCTCGTTTCTTTGATGAGTTCTGCTGATGCAGCTTTGTCACCATCCCTCAGATGTGCCCTGATTAGCGCATTATAGGTACGATCATTTGGGAGAGGTCCGTCTTCCTTCATTTTTCTAAACAAGGCAACAGCTTCCTGCTTTAAGCGTTTCACACATAATCCTGAGATCATTATAGTGTACGTTTTAACATTAAGCTTCACTCCTTCGAGGCCAAGGCTACAAAATAATTCCCATGCTTCTTCCACTTTACCAGCCTTGCACATCCCCTCAATGATGATAGTATATGTAATAATATCAAGCTCCATTCCACTATTTTGCATATCCTTGAATATGACCAACGCTTTCTCTAGGTTCCCCTTATCACAAAGCCCATCTAACAAAATGTTGTATGTCCAAATACTGGGAGGCACACCACAAGAAACCATCTGTTTGAAAATTTCTTGAGCATTCTCACAGTCCCCATATTGGAAAAAGCCTTGGATAAGAGTGTTGTAAGTTACTGTATTGCCAACTCATCCTCTTTGGGACATCTCACGAAAGAGTGCCATGCCGTCTTCTACTCTTTTAGACTTACAAAATCCATTTATGAGAGTATTATATGTCACTACGTTTGGGTAACAATCCTTGCTAACCATCAAATCAAACATCTCCTTGGCCTCGTCAATGCGATTGTTCATGTAAAACCCATTGATCAATGAATTATATGTGAAAACATCAGGACATATAGACCTATTAATCATCTCCTTATACAACTTTTTTGCCTCCAAAAGTTTCCCTTCTTTCCCAAATCCATCAATCAGTGCATTGAAAGTAATAACATCGGGACTAATTTTCCTCTCAATCATATGGCTCAGTAGTCGAGATGCGTCGCTCCATCTTCCATAACAACAAAGACAGCTTATGAGGGAGTTGTAAGTAACAACATTTCCTCTAACTCCTTTTTCCTCCAGTTTATTGAATAGGTTTAGTGCATCATCGACATGTTTGTATTTGCAAAGACCATCAATGATTGTGCTGTAGACCACAACATTCGCCTCTAATTTCCTCTTGTCCATCTTCTTGAGAAGATCTAAAGCCAAGTCAATATCACCTCTCTTACATAATCCATTTACAACAGAACCATAAGTGACCAGATCTGGTTGACATCCTTTCTCAACCATCCGTTCAACTAAATACACAGCTTCAGAAGCTTTGTTGTTGAGAAAAAGGCCATGGATTAGAGTTGTGAATGTGACTGTGTTAGGTTGATATCCCGTTTCCACCATTTGATCAAGCAACGCTACAGCCTCTGAGATCATGTTACAGCGGCAGTATCCATTGAGAAGCGAAGAAAGAGTGACAACATTGGGCTCATAACCATGTTTCATCATCTTTCCAACCATACCTAATGCCAGAGGTAGCTGTGAGGAGCGGCAGAAACAATTAATCAAAAGACTGTAAGTAAAGAGATCATGTGAAATCCCTAACTTCTCCATCTGCTCACCCAGAGAGATGACGACATCATACTTCTTCATCTTGGCAATTGCAGTCAATAGTTTACTAAACTCGATAATGGAATGGAAAGGACGAGAGTTTACCATCTCACTGAACAAACCAACCGCATCCTCTAACTTAATAGCACTAAGACCATTTCTCAATTTCTCTCTGTTATCATTACTGAGAGCAGAGAAAGCTCGTTTCCTCCAACAGAAGATAAAGGATAAAGGAGCACTTCTACCATGGACAACAATACCTTTCACCTTCGTCGCAATCGCAATCGCAATCGCAATCGCAATCGCTCTCCTCATCTTATGAATTTTGGCTTCTTCAGCAAACCCTACATTAGCAGGTGAGCGAGCGAGAGTGAGTGAGTGAAAGAGACGAGAATACCACTAATACGACGTCGTTGCAATAGAAGAAAATCGACTTCGTCTCCGGTTTATTTCAATTACGAATTAACTAATTAGAAACCGGTCCGACTATTCTGTATACTTTTTTTGGCCGTTGGCAATGTTTGTATCGTCAAGTAACCAAAACGACTAGAAAACTGAAACTTAATGCAAATCACTTAGAAACACATAAACAAAGTAATTACATAAACAAGAAACAAAGTGATAGATTACATATACTGTTTATGTATCTTCCTCTTTTTTTAATCTGATAACCGGCTTGTGATTATTTACCGGTTTAGCTCCTCTTGGCGTTTTTGAGATTACGCACTGTCATAACAAGCTGTTGTCTCTCACCTTCCACTTCTGCAAATCTCAAACTTAACTCAGAGTATCGCCCTTGAATCTCCTTCAGCTCCATCTCCATCGTCTCATTACATTCTCTCAAAGACGCCATCTCTGCTTCAAGAACTCGGACTTCTTCTTTTTCTTGAACATGTAGAGGAGCCTCATTGTCACTGATCTGACTGAGACTAGTTTCCAGTTCCTCGATTCTGTTCTTCAGATTCTTCTCCTTTTCCGTGAACATGTTTGTTGAAGCTTCAAGAGCTGTTTCCTTCAGTTTTATTTGCCCCTGGGTCACAACAACAACAAACAAAAGCTCAAGAGCTTATCATCAGTACTTTTGAAGATATTAATTCTTGAAATGTATATATATATATAAATACCTCGAGAAGTTTTATTTTATCTTTCATTACAGCAACTTCTTTAGCTCCTAGTGGACTTCCTTTGTTGTTTCTTTGCGCGGTTTTCGTTAGGTTGTTAAATGCGATTCTGCTTTCTTTCAGCTTCTTCTCAAGGTTAGCTATTGCTTCTTCTTTCTTCTTCAGCTCAGCTTTTACTTGTACCACTTGCTTCTTGTACTTCTCCATCTCTACATCATTCTCTGATAAAGAATGCTTTAGATCATCAAACTTGGCTGTTACGGTTTCTAGCTCTGTCTGTAACTGTGCAATTGCTGCTTCTTTTTCTTCCTTGATTAGCTTTAAGGCTTGCAACTCTTTTGCTAGAGACTCTGACTCCTTCCTCATTGATTCAATCCTCATCTCTAGCTCACTTTTGTTTGTTAGTGAAGCTTCAGCTTCCATAAATGATTTCCTCGTCTCTTCCAGCTCAGCTCTTAGGTTCTCTTCCTGTAACATGAGGCTACTTTTGTTCTTCTTCAGATTCTCAATCTCCTCCTTCAAGACATCGATCTCTTGGTTTAAATTTGAAGTAACATCTTCTTCATGTCTCTTCTGATTCTCTGACATTCTCTCCATCTGACTCATCTTTTCAGAAAGCTCGTGTAGCTTTGCCTCATACTCATCTTGGTTCTCTCTGAGCTCATCGTTAGCCTCCTTGAGCATTTCTTCTAGCTGACGTTTCTGCATCCTTAACTCGTTAGCTTCTGACATTGCTTTCGTAGCAACTTTCTCATTTGATGCAAACATTGAACCCATCTGCTCAGAGAGTCTCTTGAACTCATCTTGTAGCTTCTCAGCTACGCTAGCGTTTCTCCACCTTGTCTTCCTCAGGGCTTCTTCAGCTTGGATAGCTCTTTGCTCTTGCTCCACTTTACTTCTTGTGACAGCATCAATATCTGCCTCAAAGGCCTGAGCCTGTTTCTCCATCTCTTCCTCCAAGATCTCCATTTGTGTTTCAAGTTCTTTAACCCGGGACAAAGACTCGGAAGACTCTTCAGATTGTTTCTTGAGCTCAGCTTCAAGGCTCTCCACTTGGTTCTCAAGCTCTGTCACATTCACAAGAGAAGATGAACATTCGTATTGCATCTTCAACTGTTCTTGAAGTTGGCTCTGCTCTAGGTTGTATGAGGTATCATGATTCTCTTGTTTAAGTATCTCATAGTCCAAAGCAAGCTGTTCCATCTGTATCTCAAGCTCCTCTTTATCTCGTTTACAAACCTCAATCTCATTGTAGAGGTCTGTGATCTTCTGCTCCAAGACTTGTATGTTGTTCCCATCCATGTGCCCCTTCACAAGGTCTTCAAGAGCCTTTTGATCCTCATCTTCATCTGTCTCACTCCTACAGGTTCTTGGTCTAGCTTCTTCTTTGCTCCTTTCCTCAAGCATTGCTTCAAGATCTTGAACAGCAAGAATCAACTCAGAGTTAGATTCCTGAGTCTTCTGGAGCTGTAACCGGAGATTGAAGTTACGATCCTTCTCATAATCAAGTTCCTCTCTGGCTTCCTCCAAGAGAGCCCATGGATCCCTTCCTTCAAACTGCAACCTGTTCCTCGTTTTAGCCTTGTCAGAGACTTTATGTCTCTCACAATCTTCCTTCAAAGAATCTCTCTCCTGCTTCAAGCTATTCACTTCTTTCAGGAGATCTTGACTTCTTTTGGTCTCTTTAACGATTTGTTTCCTCAGGCTTTGCAACTCTAGGTCAGAAAGATCTGCTTGCCTTGTCAAACAAGTAACCTCGTTCTTAAGCTTCTCCATCTCATCCCCATCCTCAGAGGAGTTTCTCGCCATTGTTTCATTGGAACTATCATTGGTGGAGTCATCAGTGGTGATTCCATGATCAGAACTTCCGGACCACTCGGATTCTGATATAGGAGGCTCTTTGAATAAGCTTTTAGATGAATGAAGTTGCTTAGGAGGGTGTCTCAAAGACTTGGCAACTTCTTCAGGTGTAGTTGGCTCAATGACACTTCCAGAGCTTGACACTGTACTATCAGATTCAGTTGATGCTCTTCTTCTCAGCTCAGCAAACCGTGCAGCTTTACCAAATGGCCCTTCCTACAAGAAAGCATAAGTCAGAGAAGATTCAACTCTATCGCATACACCAAACAAATGGATAGATCAAATAACCTCATGGGGATGGCTTGTATGAGGTTCATCAGTATCACCGAGGCTCAAATGTGACTTCAAATCTTGACCATGTGGCATTTTCTCAAGATTTTCGCCTTCATCCTCCTCTCTGCAAGAAGTCAGAAATAGAAAAAGCCAGCTCCATCAAGTGTCCAAAACATAAACTTGCAACAACAACAACAACAAACAGATAAGATAAAAACCAGAGGATAAGTCTAGTCTTTGTGCACCTTTGAGGATCATCAAATTCTAATTGCCTTTGTATTGATACCTGAAAATAAAACAAATAAAAAAAATCTGAGTTAGTTATTAGAGATCATTAATAAGGCATTAACATTTTTTTTTATAAATGACAGAAAAAGCAGAGGTTCTTGTGAGCTTTTAAAGATGCAAACAGGTCATAAATTTCTCTCAAGACAGAACATTAAAGAGAAAAAGTAAAGAGGAAGAGAGAAGAAGCTAACATGCAACAATGCTTTTGAAGTTGTGTTGTGTAGTGGAAGACAAACGTTACAAGTTTTAGTTACGTCAGCATAATCACCAAAATCAATTGATGTTTCTCCAACCAAACCACCTCTTGTAGTAGATCCCTGACAAAAAAAACAAAATTAATAAAAATTTACAAAACCAAGAAAACGTTACGGTACCGTCACAGATCTTCATCCATCAATCTCTTTATTTTATTTTTTTACTGACCGTAGTTGAGACAATGAGATGGTAAATCCTCTGGTTAACCTTGCCGGTTTTCGCATCTTTCAGAAACTTCACAGTCTCGTAAACCGGAATCTCCCACCGGCATTGCCCGTCTTTAACCACAGCTTTCTCTGACCTCGCCGTCGGTTTCCCAACATCTCCGGGAACTAGGGACAGAATCAATCCCTCTGTATTGAACTCAGCAGCCTTGTTAACCCAAAACAGAAAAAAAAAAATCAGACTTAGATAGATCATATGTTTTTATTGTTCATGTGTCAAAATTGAAATCAGATTCAAAAAATGTCAAGAACCTAAGCAATGATTAACCCTAACTTGAAAAAAAATCCAAGATGATCGGTACCTGAGTAGCATGAAACTTTAGCCTGAAGACGACTTTGATCCTGTTCTTCTCGTTCCTCCATCTACCTGTTCTAAACATCTCCACCAGCCTTCGAGTATTTATCACCGGCGTGAAAGAGTTTTTAACTCACCGTTGATCAGAGCAATGTCTCATGGAACCAACCATTTACACCACTCCTTTAGTCCAATGCAGAGGAAATAGTTATTAATCCAATAGCGATATTTCTTGAAGCTGATCCTCCGCGCGAGTTGGCTCAGTCAAACGAACGAGTTCAACTCAGAGAGAGAGCAAAGGAAGAAGGAGACGAAGACGGGAACGTTAAGCTCGAGCGGTGGATTTTATATAAATGGGACAAAAAAACAAAAAGCAAAGTAGATCTAAAAGAGAGACCCGAGATGAAATAAACAATTATCAAAAGACAAATAAAGTACGGTACGTTTTTAATAATTAATTACTTTTACATTTCTTTAATTCTTTTTGTGCAAAACATTTCTTTAATTCATTTATATTTTATATTTTTCAGAAAGATCTACATGTTTTATTATTAGGATGCTAAAAGTATATAAATCCATAATTATGGATAGCGTGCTATTATAGTATGATATTCACACAAGATCAGATATTTACATGAGGATTTCTTGAAATTTGTATTTAAAATCTTTTTGTATAAATTATTTTATTTTTTATTGCAAATTGTAATCCTTAATATTTTTGTAGAGTTAATTTGACAGAAAACAAATAACTAATAGAAATAAATATGCAGTATTGAATTGTAAAATATAAAACAACAAATCAAGGGACTAAATAATTCATATAAAAAATCTAAATTATAATAATTTTTAAAAATTTTGTTTTTAAATTCTCATAATTATATATTATTATATGCAGTGTATTTTTTTGTAGAATTTGTGCGATTGGGTAAGAAGAGATAAAATGTGTATAAGTATTAATTTTTATGTTGTACTACTAACATTATCAATCATAAAGTCTGTTACAAAAAAAAAAAAAACTTCTCATTCACCTGCGACAAAAAGACGATTTTCAGATTTACCTCTGGACTGGCGTCCATAAACACGCGTGAGAGTGCCACGCGAGTGCACAGCTCCGCCGGGACCTTCTCTTCCCTTCCTCCTTTTCGTTTGCATCTTCGTTGGCATGTTGGTTCTGAGGTGTCTCTGTGCGATTGCTGCTGTTTTCACTCTCTCGGATTTGTTCTGAAGGTTCTCTACCTCGGTCTCGCGTACAGAGCATACTCTCACTGTGTGGTGAGGTTATTGTTTTGATCAATGCGCGACAAGGCTGAGTATCAGTGAAGGCTCAGTCGTCTATGGTTGGGGTCTTTCGGTGCTCTTGTCTTCCAAATCCTTTCACCTTTTCTACTGGGTTTGGTTAGATTTTTATAGAGGTTATGTTGACGTCTTATCTTCTAAAGAGTACTCTGTAGTTTTTCGTTCTGTGTTTCCGAGGCCTAAGGAAACATGTCAAACGGTCTCAAGTTATATGTCTTCGATTCTCGACGGCAGCAGAAGGCGAAGGTGGTCGACGGGTCGAGATGTTCTACTGCTGGTTTCTACCTTTCGAAGGCTCCTTCTGTTTGATGTTGCATATCCCAGTACCAGCATTGGTCATTTGTCCTTGTTGGTACGTGACTATCTGGTAAGGTTGTTTTAGTACTATCCTACTTTAGTTCGTTGTGCTTCAAAGATCAGTGAAGTAGGCAAGCTTAGTGAGATCGTCATTAGTCAACTACTCTAGTGATGACACGTAAAGACTGGCATCCTAGGCAATGAGATAAACCTCGTCCTTTGCAGTAGTTCTCATCAATGATTGAGAATGGATAGTGATATTCTAAGGACCTCGGAGCACTTTAGCGGAACATGTCGGTTTGGCGGGCAAACGAACCGAAATTTGTTATGCGTTGATTTAGATAATTTTGTTTGATCCGAGCTTGTAAACAACACTTGAATTCCCATTTGTTCGAGTTGATTAATGATTAGTAAATTTTTTAAAAAAAATAAAAATAAAAAAAAAAACATTATTGATCATATTCATTTTATGAATTTATATATTACTAATACTAAGAATGATGAAGCTAATCGCTTATACCAATATTAGAGATGATTAGTTGAGTTGTATGAGCTATCTTAAACTATTAAATTAAATTATTTTACAATTTAAAATTCTAAAGGCTAGGCATAAATATTTATTTGGTAAACTATTATTAAGGCTAGATATACAAATATTTGTTATTTGCCTTATATATATTATTTAAGCTGTACCATTTTTCAATTACTTGTCGTTAAGTATCAAATTGTTGAGTTTTGTTACTTACAAATACAAATCAAATAACAAGTATCACAAAAAAACTTAAAAAATCATCACTCATTAATTATTTTGTGACTGAAAAACGATAATTATCATAAAAATGAAAACCTTAAAATATATTTTTTTTGTTGTAAAAACTAAACAAAACTTTTTATCGAAACATTTATATATTTTGTTCCCTCTTTTTTATAATTGGCATATATATTTTATTTGAAGTAGCTATTGTGTTTTTTCCAAGTCAAATAAATAAAAAAAAAAATTTCATAATCTTTTTAATAGAATATTATCTAACGAATAATTATTAAAAATATAGAAAATATTCAATAATCCATAAATATTTACAAGTAGTAAATAATCAAAAAGGCAAATAATTTGCAAGTAACAATTTTTGGATATGTATTCAAATAATAAATATCCGACTTCAACGAGACAAATATAAATATAAAAATCCATTACTCGTTCAAGACAATCAAGTATACGTAAAATACAAGTACTCGTCTTTGCATCGAATCATCCATCCTTAACTATTATAAACTATAGCAATACAAACATTTTTATTTAATTTTAGAAGATATATTTTGTTGTATTGTTTAAATTTTACAACAAAAATTTTACGGTTAAATTTTCCAGTTATTCACAATATTAGTATGAATTTATGATTTCATTTTGGAAAATACAGTACTATATGTTTCTTAAAAAAAATAAGACCGACAGATTAGGAGACATGTTATTAATAAAAAGTTGCTGGTGTTGGGTTAGGGAACAGTAATCGATACGCAAGGAAATGACACATCTGTCCTCCTTTACTTTATCTTTTCATGGGTATTATGGTAATTGTCGGATGGGATGCAATTTACCAATCCTGGTCCCGATAGACTAAAAATCCAACGGTCGACTTTCACTTTAAATTATTTCTGGTATCGGATATTTGTCTTTATCATACTGTCAAACACATTTTGCTTAGTATTTAACACAGAAAACGATGTTTTAACCAAATAAAATTAGATTGCTTAGCCTAAGTTTTTCCCCAACGAATCAATAAATGGCCTTATTCTTTACATCAAAGGAAAAATGTGGAAACTTATGTATCCAATTTATATTGAGTATCGATTAATATTGAATTTTCAGAAAATTCCAGTAACACATTACAAAAAAAAAAAAAAAAAATTTCCAGTAACAGTGTAGGCTTTCTGCCAAACGTTACATGACATTAATCTTATAGTACGTTAACCCACTGGGTTTACTGTGCGAGAAATATTGCTTTTTAACAAGGCAAGACCAAATGTTTAATAATAATAACTATAACAATAATAATAAAGAAGATATAGCTTATGAATGGTAGTATAGTAGTAGTATTGACATAATGCAAAATAGGGTAGTAGCCAAAAGAAAATAAACAGTAATCATATGCACTGTGTGATTATCCCGGCCACTACTAGTCCTGAGATAATCATTAGTATGAAATAAAACTTTCCTCCTCGGGAATGGAACTTGTGAATATATCGAAATGTTGGGAACCAAACACCCAGAGTTCAATGAATTTATGCTGTACTGTCCACTTTTGGAAACAAATAATCCACAGTGTTACAGATATATACATTTCTGTTGCGAGTATATCTAACTATCTAAACAAGCTGTATATTTGGGTAGCTTATTTTAGAAAACGAAAAAAAAAAAACAAAGTATGGTTTCTATTATTACATCCTTGTTGTAGGTCCATTGAGATCCCGGAGATGAAAAAGGGATCCTATGTCTTATAATAATGTATACCCTCATTACCAAGAATGCTAGTATCACTAATATTTTTACCTTTTTACATAATGTATAATCCCAATATTCCATGAATTTTATAGAATCAGTTTTTTTTTTCTGTAATTAGTTTTATTTGACTAAAGCTCACGATCTGAATAGTAACGGTTGGTTTGATAAAATAAACGGAACAAAATTAAATGTAATACGGTGCAATAGTGGTTCTTGCGGTTTGCGGAATAAATACGATTTTAATTGAAAAAGTAATGCGATTGTGATTGAAAATGTAATACGGCTTTGATAGAAAAAGTAGTGTGTTTTGAAAAATGTAGTATAAATAAATATATTAATATAATTTAAATATATTTAGTGATTATGTTATACCAACTTTATATATTCTTATAATTTCAGATATTAAACTTGATTGGGAAAAAATATTATATATATATATTTAGTGATTATATTACAATAATTTTTATATTTTATAATCAAATATTAAAATTTATTTTAAGAAAAAATATATATATATTCTTTATTTTTGTAATTTTAAATATTATTTAACTACCATATATGTATCTAAACTATTAAGAGGGACTACAAATAAGAATTGGCCCTGATTTTATTTTTCAAAATTACAAATTTATGCCATTAGAATTAAATACAGTACTTTTGATTAATGCCTTACTATAATTAAAATTGTTACTATAATTAAAATTGTTTTCGTCAGCCCATGAAATTTCGTTGGGTGATGACCAGCCCATTATGTGGTAAAAATTTCAAATACATATTTGATATAAAATATTTATATAAAAAATAAGACTTATCCCTGATTTTTTTTTTGTCAAAAATTACAAATTTATGCTACTAGAATTAAAATACAGTAATTTTGATTAATGCCTTACTATAATTAAAATTGTTACTATAATTAAAAATTTTTTCGTCAGCCCATGAAATTTCGTTGGGTGATGGCCAGCCCATTATGTGGTAAAATTTTAAAATACATATTTGATATAAAATACATATATACAATTAAAATTGTTAACAACAATATATAATTTAAATTAATACAATCTATGTAGAAGAAAAATTTGGCGGCACAATATATTAATACATAATTATAAAGTTTGATCTGATTTAGTTGTCTAAATGATCAACTACTCATACAATAATAAAAATATAAAACACAATACAAAAACAACAAAGTGATTTATGGTAGGAATAATAAACTAAAATCTAACGGATGAAACCATTAAGTTTTTGTATTTTGAAATGTTTATGTAATTATAACAATTATATGAAATTATCTAGTTTAGTTTATTTAGCTACCATATATGTAATTTTTTTTAAAAGTAATTATCAATTTCTAAGTTAAATAACACAAATAGTCAGCCAATTCTCAGAAAAAGAAAAAAAATCAGTCACAAATCCAATAATGCGCAGAAACCACACCATATTGGATGCGGGATGCAAGAAGTGCGTTTTCTTAAAAACATAGAACAAACAAAAAAAATTTAAAATTTTTTTGGTCAAGTGTGTTATTAACACAAAACAATCCCGCTAATAAAATTATTTATGAATGACAACATCTTTTCAATTCCACTCAGAGTATATCAAATTCGTACCCCATTCATATTACCAATCACAACCTCAGATAAAGATGGTAATTATGGATCTGGACCGCATGCTTAGCCCGTAAAGAACTATCGCAGGACGGTATTTGGATGAGGTTTTCTAGGTCCGCAAATTGTCGGGCCTCGCGGGATGGATCTTTGCGGGACTGCATCTTTTGCGGGTCACACGAGATTACAAGGACCCGCCTTTTTTTCTTTATTTTTTGTTTTACCTGTAAAAACGAGAGATTGAGTGAGAAAAAAATGATTCATGTGACTTCCACTGAGAAAACATAAAAAGCTCAGGCGATGATGATGATTCGAGCTTCGGTGATAATGATTCAAGCTCCGGCGATGATGATTTGAGCTTTATAAGTGTTTTGATTTGGTTTCTCTTTTTATTTAGTGTGGGATTGACATTTTTGATTTGGTGTTTCATTTAATTTAATTTCTGGATTCAGCAAACTAAAACATTGGCTATGAACTTATGAGTTATAAGATAATGAAAAATATCTTCTGCAATTATTTTTACTTTGTATGTTAATATGTTTTCGGTGTTGTTTAGGG